CGATGGGGGGGTGGGGGGGGGGGGAACTGGGGGGAGTCAACACCTTTTACTGATGTTTTCAGAACCTGAACGTTTGCATTTTCCTATTTTTTGCCTCTTTCTTCCCACTGGGGGAGAAGACTTTGCTCCTTGTGTTCCCACTGGGAATATTTAAAGGATGTATATCCATATATATTTTTTTAATTTTTAGTAAAAAATACAGGAAGCAAAGTAATTTTAATTCATGTCAGCCTAACCCAACCTACCATATTTTTCTGTTTGACTTATTTTTTTTAATTTTGACTACCATATTTGTCTATTTTTGTTGAAGTAAGCTTAAAACCAGCTCTCAGCCAGCTCCTGTGGCAGGGTCTGGGTTACTGCAAGGCACTTCAGCTGAGCCCCACAGGCAGCCATGGCACCTTTTTCCCCCCCCCTTAAGGCTGATCATAACTTATCACCAATTTTCTCTCGCTTTATTCAGGCAGGCAAATTTGACATCATCCCAACCATGACCACCATTGGCTCTGGAATTGGTATTTTTGGAGTGGTAAGTTCAGCTATTTCCAGACTCTATAGAGACTCACAAATTATTCTCCTGGCCTGTAAGATCCGTGGGGAAGTGTCCCTGAGCTGCAGTGGAATACTGGTGTGTGTGAGCTGCTGCCCTGCTAAGGGGAAGGCAGAATGTTGTTTTAGGGTCATAGCTTGAGATCTTGATAGCTCCAAGTCAGAGCTGCTACTGAGGGGGCTTTGGATAGGCAGTAATTCATCCACGACAAAAAAATCCCAGCCCTCTATCTGGTTATGGTCATTCAAAACTTCAGCATGACCTGAAGGGTGTTGTGCTCTGCTGATACCTAAAGTGGAAACAATTTCTATTGCCTTAACTTGCCCAGTACTGCAGCCAGCACACTCCACTCTGTCCCAAATGCACTTTTGGGAGCTGTGTGCTCTTTAGCAGCTGCCACGTTGTGGGTTGAAGCAGAAGGGACCCTAATGTATGGGGCAAACTGGAAAAAGCTTGGAAGTAGAAGGTGCCACAGGTGAGCGGGGTGGGTAACCCCAAATCTAAATGTGCTTTGATTTAAGGCCTCTGTCCTCTGCGACCTGCTCCTGCTGCATTTTCTCCAAGGACGGGACTATTACAAGCAGAAGAAATTCAAATACGCGGAACCGGAGCCCGTAAGTGACAGGGAGTCCCTCCCTGTGGAGGCTCTTCTGAGAGTGTGGGTGGGTGTGTGCAGAGTAATGCTGCTTTAACACTAACATCTTTTATACTGAGGAGCACTCAGGTGCCTTCCTGAGCCCTTGGGACTGTCAGAGACTGGGATCCATGGATCTCCTCTCCAGTCTTCCGTGTGATGCGTTCTTTGTAGCTTTATTCCCTCCCTTTATCCCCAGAGATTCCAATATCTGGTAACATTTGCATTGCTTTAAAGGAAACAGGGGCAGAGCAGGGATTTAGCACATTGGGAAATGTCTTCTGAGAACCTCTCCATGGCCATGGGGTGTTTTGTAGCTTTTCATGGAACACAAAAAAACCTCCCCTCAAACTGATCTGAAAATATGTTTAGGCATTAGGGATTAGAAATTGCTGTAGAAATTAGAAATTTCCCTGGCATCAGGCAGGGGCAGGTCTGTAAAAGAATCATTGTTTTCTCTCATTTAACCCACAGTCCAAGTCACATAAGAAGGAGAAGGAG